ATTACAACAAAATAGCAAAAAATTAAAACTAAGTAAATAAAATAAAATACAAAAAAATACAAAAAGATTAAAATTAAAACTAAATAAAATTAAAATAAGAACTAAATAAATAAAATAAAGTACACTGTAATAAACATAAAATAAAGTACAATAGAATGAAAATAAACTGAAATAATATAAACAGCAGAAAAAAATACAATGAAATAAAAAATTAAAAAAAAAAATAATTTCTACTTACTGCTCATAAAATATATGCCGTTATATAATTTGAAACAAAACGAAATAAAATAAAAAACTAAAATAGAAACAGACAGTTCTTTATTCATTACATCTACAGACTGATTGGTGTAATCTAAATACACCGTACAGCATGTGGGTGAGGGCGCTGTGGTTCAAGTAAAGAATTAGAATCGATTAAAAATAATTAAAGTACAATTAAAATAAAATAGATTAAAATGCAATAAAATAAAAATAAATTAAATTAAGTTAAATTAAAATAAAATAAAACTGTAATAAAAATAAAATAAATATACAGTAAAGTAGAAAAAAATAAAATAAGAAGCAATAAAATGTAATAAATAAATAAAACCTATTTATAAACACCATTATACCATCGGATTTCGTCGGATCCGATAAGTTTCAATAATCGGACGACGGCAGATCCGATAAGTTCCAGCTATTGGAAAGTGGTGGATTCTACCATCGGAATCCTGGAGAATCCGACTGTCGGACAACGTCGGAAATCAACCTAGGTCAAACAATCAGACAGTAAGATCTTACAAGATCGTACCTCTGATCTTGTACGATTTCGTAAGATCAGATGAAAATTGTACAGAAAATCGTCGTCTAAGAATTCTGTTGATCCGTCGTACTATAAGATTCTTGAAAGACCCTGTTACCGTGTAAGATCTTTCACAAATCTAATAGTATGATCTGATGCAAAATTTCTTAGAGTACGATTTTTTGTCAGATTCTTGTAAGATTTCGTCCAGATTGCAAGATCTTACGTCAGATTTTCCGACCTGGGAAGCGATATAATGGGGATTCCGGCAGTCGGTATCCGACCGGATCCGGTTGTAGGATGACGCCAGATTATTCAGGGATCCGTCAGGATCCTGTTGAGTAGTTTCGCCCTGTGCAGGATCGCTGCTGTTCAGATATACTGAATGTGTGTTTGGCATCGTGTTCTGAATCACATCACACTGAAAAAAAATGGTACGATACCGAACCAAAAAAGGTACTTTGAAAGAAAAAAAGGTTTCGTACATAGTACGGAGCCTAAAAAGATTTCGAATTCGTTGCAATTCTCTGAACCATTTTAGGTTCGGTACAGACTAGGGGTGTCACACTTACCACTTACCACCACTTCCACTTACCAGGTAAGTGGTAAGTGTTGTAATCATTGAAAAATTATTGGTATAACACTAATAAATGACTATTTTAAGTATTGATTATTTATTCTTGCATAGTAATCTTCACCACTTACCGGTAAGTGGTAAGTGGTTTGTAGCTAATTGAAGACAGACCATTCACGACACATAATTGATGATTCCACCATGATTCTTTCGTGGCCCTTTTTTGACTAATTAAATTTAGTTATGCACTAGTACACTACAACTAGCATCCACTTGGCGATTGGATGCCGGTCTGATTGGGTTCTATTCTGACTGAGGTATCCAATCCGAGTGTCTAACATGAATGATGATCGGTATTTATAGAACACGAATCAGTAGGTATTAGTGCAGAATCATCAAGTTTGGATCCAGTCCCTAGTAGGGACTGAGAGTGATGCATACCTAATTAGATCATCACGTGTCTTTCTTCAGTCGTTTAGGTTGGATTATTTGAGATGTCCTAACACTTGGTAACAGCCATCTAGAAGCGGTCTCCTTAAGTTTTCAAGGGATCATCTAACGGTGATTTCTTTATCTTTTCGAGATTTTCTAGATGTAAGCAGTATTACTTTGCGAGGGCTATTCAGGGCAGGCATCTCACACTGACTGTTACTTCTACTTCCATTTACCAAAATAACAATAAGTGTTTTAGTATTGAAAATTTCTCTATATGGCAGTAAAAAATGGTTGGTTAAAGCATGGGATATTATTAAACGGTCAGTAAAATAAATGAAATGGTCAGGAAAATAGATGAAATGATCAGTAAGATAAATGGTCAGTAAAAAATGTATAAATAATCAGTAAAAAGATTAAATGGTCAGTACTTAGATTATCACTCATATAAAAAAAAAGATTGGAAAAAATCTGATTTTAATCGATTTTTTTGTGATTAAAAATCGATTAAAATGGGACAGTTTTAACCAGGTTTTTAATCAAACTAGTGATTAAAATAAATTAAATTTATAAATATGCATTTTAACCGATTAAAATTTTTTCATTGACTATTTTACTCAATTTCAGTCAGATTATTCGATTTTTAATCTATTAAAATCAATTAAAATTTTTAAATCGATTTTAATCAATTCTAATAGTTTTTCTTTTTAAATGAATAAGTACCAATTGATATCGAGTATTGAAGCATGGAATTTATGTCAAAGGTCGATCTAGCATCATATCTACTAATTTTCCGAGGCAAGGAGTCCGAAAAAGCGATCGAACATCTGAGTTTTCAACCTAAAGTTTGAGAAAACGCATTTTACCGTCGCCGCCATTAAAATTAATATTTATAAATTTAATTTATTTTAATCACTGGTTTGATTTAAAAAATCGATTAAAATCAGATTTTTTCCAATCTTTTTTTTATATGAGTGATAATCTAAGTACTGACCATTTAATCTTATTACTGATCATTTATACACTTTTTACTGACCATTTATTTTACTGACCATTTCATCTATTTTACTGATCATTTAATTTATTTTACTGACCGCTTAAATAGTAGCCTTAAAGCATTGATTATTTATCATTGTATGGTAATCTTTGTTGCCTACTGCTAATAACTGAATGGTAAGTGGTTTGTTTTTAAATGAAGGTAGACCATTTACGACACTTATCTCAATTTACTGTTCTTGTGACTTTGGCAGCATCTAAATTTTGCACTATAGGTTTTTACATATTTGATTTTGATGAACCATTCTTCAGATGTTTTGTGGTAGTGTGAATATTATCTTTTGATAAAAATATTTAATTAGAGAGTACCATCTATTTTATTGGTAAATAACTGCTTTTAAGCAAAAACAAATTGGTGGAAAACAAGAAGGAAATAAAATGCAAGCCGCATTCCAAAAAAATATACTGAGAGACATTGTCATGATTGTGTTTGAATATAAGACTTGTTAGTTTGAATAAATTAGTCGAAAAAAAAGCAAAAATATAGTTTCCTAACTCGATGACAGGTTTTTTGAAAGGACATAATACTGAGGAAAACGTTGCTTTTTGCCTTTGTTGAAAGGATAGTGGAATTAGATAGTCTAAATGTTTAGAAAATAAGACGTCATCAATTATAATTTTCACCGAGATTCGTTTATTCGACTGTTATATTTTAAAAAAAGAATTTTAAAGAATTCTATTGATCGAGAAGAACTACACACATATCTATTACAAATTCTCAAATTTTATTAAAACTCATATCATATAAAAGTTGATAAGTCAACACAAAGTTATTTAGAGTCACCAACAAATAATTTAGGTTAAAAGAATTAGAAAGTTTTGATCTAATAAAAGCATTTCGATATTACTACTGATATTGTCACATATATTAGACTAGGTTTTCCTCGGTTATTCCATTTACAATTTACGATCAACGAAAGTCATAGCTGATGTAATGAATCGTACGCAGTTTCACCTTAAATCAATTCATACTTAGACATGCATGGTGCAGTCTTCAAGATAGAGAAAAGTCACCACAAATATAAAAATGTGTTTAGATGCGAAAGCTAGTATAGTTATATAATGTTTATAATGATTATAAGTCATTCACCTGCTCAGACTTTTAAAGTATTACTGATGTAAAAGTGGGAGTAAAAGGACTACAAGAACTAAAAGGAGTAAAGAGACAACGATCGATGATACCTGTAAATGATTTGCTATACCGGGATAACTTAAATTTTTTGTGGATCCCTCCTCTAGTGAGACTAAATGATATTCAAACTAACAGATCATATTTTTAAGAAAAGAAAGAAAAAAAAAGAAGGGATTATCTAACTTCTTTGGCAATGCGTTGAGTTTCGTAGATAAATCTGATTATTGTATATCATTATAATGTATTAGAACGACGAATCTTAAGTGAAAGATTGCCATCAATTGTATCAACATGTCCGTCATCATTCAACAATTCATCTGTACTATCAGTCAATGGTATTTCTAAAAAAAAATAACGTCAAATATGCTTTAGTATAGACAATTTACTCGGTTTTTCAGCCTGAAAATCAATTTCCACTTTAATAAACATTGTATCATTTTGAACATATTGATTTTGATTTTTTTCAAATAAATCAAGAGAAAGAAATGTTGAAGTACCATCAACAATATTTATATCGGTAGTTGAATGTTGAAAACAGCTTGATGTTGTATTAAACCAAAAGGAAATCGATTGGTTATTGTTTGATGATAATTGATTAAGTAAAGTAAATGTTACATTAAATTTAAATGGCCAATGAAAAATTGTATTATGATTATCTTGCATTAATACCAAAAATAATGACATGTGTGTACCTTGTGTATTAGTATCCCCATTTAAACATAATTGTAAACACATTTTATAATCTGTTTGAGATGAATAAAATGATGGAGAATAGATTGATATTTTTCGTTCTGATATAGCATCCACTAATAAATAAATATCAATACATACATCAGTTTAAAATATTTAATTTCTTTATATACTTCTCTTTTCTTGAAAATTCGTTATCTTCCACGTGAGTGTTCCATCAAACGATGTAGCCTGAGCATCTTCAACATTCTCTTTCAAAATTAGGAATTGTTGATATAATAAATTTCGATTAATTTCTATTCCATAGATATGATCATTGATTTCTTGAACTATTGTTTTAAATGAAGACCATTGTTGAGCCATAACTGAAATAGCATATTGATGACTGTTAAGTTCTCTATTGATTCGTTGTATATCATTATTTCGAACTTTTGTACTATTTAATAAATTGGATATTGTTCCTTGAATTTGACTATGATTTAAATTACTATTGTTTGATGTACATATTAAAGAGAAGGTGGAAAGAATTTCTTGATGTATTTCATCTAAATAATGTCGATGAAGGTTACTTTGAGCTACCTAAAAAGTTGTGTTCATTAATACAGTATCATTAATTCAATATTTACTTGTTCGTTGCAAATGGAACAGTTGGTAAATTGTTGATGATTTTGATCACGATGCTTCTAAAAAAATGATATAACTGTATAATAAAAAATAACTATATAATATTTTTTACTTGATAAAGTTTCAATGACCCGTTCCACTCACATTCTAAACATGTCGTTGGTAATTGTTGTATTTCATTTTGAAAACCTCGATCTAACCATATCTTCAAGAATAGATATATGTATTTGGAAACAAAATTATTAAAAATAATTAAATCAATTACTTTATCTTTTGAAATGAATTTCAAACATGTTGCACAACTAATAAGACAAAGAAACAGACTATTATTATTAAAAATAAAAAAAAAATACATTTACCTGTTTTGATTATTTATACATGATTTACATTGTCGATGCCCACATTCAAGCTGAAAAGGTTCTTTGTAAAAGCAAATCGCTTTGACACTGAAGAATGACAATCAGCATTATTCGTTCGTTTTGCAGAAAGACGTTCCATGGTTGACATAGCAATGTTGTAAATTGCCGGTCGATCAATTGATTGGGATGAAGCTACAGCTCTTCCAGTCTCAGCATTTTGTAATTGTTTTTCTAAAGCACGTTCAGGGCAAAACTCGAATTTTTCACTTTCTTCTGATCCAAATGGAATACAACTTTGACCATATTGAAGGGCATCACTAGTATCATAGTATACATAAATACGCCGAACTTGTTCAATTTTGTGAACAAATTTTTCTAGTAATTCTCTGAGATACAAGACAGAAATATGTAAGTGAAAAGTATTTGTATCCTTGATATGATCACATACATATTTGCGTAAGGCGGTCACGTTGAAAAACAACTTGGTACAATGATCAAATTTATTCTCTGGAATAAACTTCTCAGAGAGTACAAGAAATTGGCATACACGATCTTCACTGTTTCTAGTAGCCATGTACGATGATTTAATACATGAATATGGAATATAAATCAAAAATTGATATTCTGTATTGATAATTGAAACAATGAAGAATGAACAATGAAAAAATAATAAAATTCGATTGTTCTAAGAAAATAGATAGAAATCTAAAATCTAAATTATATTTATTGGTTGGTAGATTTACAGATCTACATGCAACAACATAAGTATGTTATGAATATACAATTATTAAAATTAGTTACATTAATAATTGGATAAAATACAAAAAAAAATACATATATTATTTTACAGTATGCAGAAAAAACTAAAAACTTGAAAGTATGTTTGACTACATCATTTTCTTGCTTTACATAATTTTTTAACGATATAAAAAAGAATGAATGATTAGCACTATAACAGCTATTATCATTCTTCTTTATATATGGATGTACATAAGCGTTGCTATAAGATGCGGAAATAAATATCAAATTGAAAGATTTTTATTTGATCTGAATATATTCATAGGTTGAACTTATCTTGATTAAAATAATAATTAAAACTGTCGGGTATAATAGTTTAACGATTATTACATATTGTGAATATCAAAAATTAAAAAAAAGCCTTTCAAGATGGCTCATGTCAAGGAAAAAGAACAAGTCAATCTGCTCAATATCTTCGTACAACATAGAGTGCAAAACTGTTGAACTATAGAGTAAAAAATTTGGGTTCTCTATTATTACAGAAATAACTGAGGATCTTATGAATCTGGGACTTATGCATCAAAAAGTTGTTTCGCTTATTTTTAAACAATTGTTTTTTTTCATACGAACAATAAAACATAGACAATTTTTTAAAGTTTTTTTATTGATACTATCAGATAATCACTCACGTCCTTGTACATTTTAAAGTTTCTTCACTATTGCACAAAGCTTAAGAGCACGATCATAGCTTCGTTGAGCTTCTAATTCATTATTTTCATCTTCTCTTTGTTGATCACCTATTTCTTCCGAGAAAAGTGCAAGACCGATGATTAATTTGATTAGAAGACGTGTATCATCAGCAAAGATACCATCAATTTTTATATAAGATCTTGAAAATCTTCCCAACATTGTTAATTCATTCGTCCTACAACGGATAAGTATTGAACGAATACTTTTGTACGCATGAGTGTGGGACACAATATTTTGAATATTAGTATTTGTTTCAATCATCAAAGAAGCAACCCTTACTGAAGAATAGATATTTAACCAATTCCACAATTGTTCTTTTGTCGAGAAGAGAATTAAAGTTATATCTTTAGGTATCAAATATTCAATAAGAGCAGCTCTCAGTGACGAGTGTTTCTCACCCAGCCAGAGCACTACAACAGCGCCAGCACATACTAAAACAAACAATAAAAAAAAAAACTACAATTAGTATTTTCTTGTTCCAAAAATATCACAAGAATCCTTGTGGACTGGAACAGCTCCCCTACCATTGCCATGAATCAAACGAGATTGCTCATATCGATCAGACAATTGATCCACTGAATTGTCATTATCATCGATAATTTCATCGCTTTGAGGCAATGATGCTCGTGGTAGAATAACTGTTAATAACTGAACGATCGGTAATCTGTCTACTAAAGTTGTCATGAGAATTTTTAAGATCTTTTTCAATTGAAACAAAAGGGAAACAATTAATCATAAATAAAATGAAATGAAAAAAATCTGAAAATAAATACGTTTACATTGATAGTTTACAATTAAAATTCGAAAAATAAAAGGAATACTCGAATAAATGAGAAAAATAATTCGACATAATATTAATTGAGTGAGTCTCTATTCACAAATCATTTATATATTGAAAATGACGAAGAAAACGGCGTTCTCTTACTTCCATAAGAAAATAACATTTTTTTTTTACAGAGAGAAAAAGAACGGAAGCACATCAACTGGGAAAATTCCCAGTTCTCTTCAATGGAATCGATTTAAGGTCAAATTAAAGCTGAAAGTAGTTCTTTTCTTAAAATTTTCTAACTTACGAATAGAATCTATTT